GAGCAATGGGTGTGGGAAGTTGAAGGAGGAGGGTCTAGCGGTACGTATCCGCCCTCTCCCGAAAGCCGGGCCGTCCTGATCTGTCGTGCTTCCCAAGGTACGTATCTATCGAGCTAAAAGTGGAGAATGGAGGAGTCCCCTTTTGCATCTGCAACTTACTCAGCCACGAGCTGACATAATACACATCGGCTTAAGCCTGATGGTGGTGCTCCCTCCCATTTTCGAGAGATGGAAGGAGAAGAAGAGATCCGTGCACACTTTGTGGGAATTATGATCAACCACCTACACGACGACTTCAAGCAACAACAAGCAGCGGCAACAACAACAACAAATCATCCGCCAGTCAAAGCATCACACTTGTGCGTTGCCGTGTCTCCTCGTCTCAGCCTCCTCCTTGCTTATCCAAGGCTTGTCTGGAGCCATCTCATCCATGTTCGACACCATCGGGACAGCCAGCTAAGCTTCCTCCATCTCACCTTATCTCGGAAAGAGATTTGCTCGAGACCCAGATCAGAACCCACCCAAACATCAAGATAGCCATCATCACAAGCTGAAAAAAGGAAGCCGGGGGGGGGCATTCGAGCCACGAGCTGCACAACCCGCACAACCCGCACAAAACCTTCGTGGTCTTTCAGGAATGCTCCATCGATATTTCAATGCAGGCGCAAGGCGTGTCAACACACACAGTCAGATCAGATCTAGGACATCCTCCCCGGCCCCTCCACACACAACACGCGGCACGCCTTACCAACCTGTTTCGATTCGTGCCCACTCACATCTCCGCTCTTGAAGTGGCCAGTCTTCTTCGGCTCCTTCTATTTCATCTCTGGACCTCCAAAGATCCTTCGAGAGGCTCACCTCCCTGTCAGGCAACCGAGTTGCAATTCTTTGATCGTGGCTCCCTACAACCGCTCGCTTGGCGGTGGGTAGGACAAAGAATCTTCGATGGCGTTACCTCGTGGTCCCATACTCAAATGTCTGCTTAGTGCAGCTTGAATCCACAGACGCCACTTCGACGGCAGCGGCTTCGAGAAACATCTCCACAGACCAGCCCTGGCTGTGCGCATCTAATCAGCGAGAGTCGTGTTTCTGCACCCGAATATGGAACAATGATAACAACAATCATCAGACGCCGCAGACCTGCTTTGCCATCTGCAGCCCGATAGCCCAGACAAGAGAGATCCAATGTCGCAGCACAGTCCAACAGCATCTAAGAAGCAATTCGCAAGAGTCCTCTATTCGGTCTACTTGCGCCTTCAACATTGGCCCAACTCTGAGTTATTCCAAAGTCTAGAGTCTAGTCAAAGTCTACATGTCACCACTCCAGGAATAAGAAAGGCCATGTCGGACGCAAAACCTCGACGAGCAAGTAAAGAAAGCGGCGACAGCTATCCGCCGCCACCACACGCTAAAAATAAGCTCCTCGCGATGGGATTGGATATTTCTGTCGTTACTAGCGCGCTCCTATCTCGCTCCCGACTGCTATGCGGCTAGAAGTTCTGGCGCATGTGAGTACTCGCAGGGGCATTATGGGACAATTCCCAGCTTTGCGTTTTTGCCAGCTCGAGCTAGAGTTGGTCAGGCAAATGTCTTTTGTTCTCGTTCCCGAGTTATTTGCGAACGACAGACGATTGATCCGAGACCGAATGTCTGGACCCCTATTCTGGCATCATCCACCCGTATTACCATCCGTACCACGATCCATAGTCCACCCACCGCACGCGAAGATAGATGTCGTATCCACTGATCCGCCCAGGGGTGGGCACGATTGGGGTTACCAGGGTCGCTTGTCACCCTACCACTGTACACCTGCAGGCAAGGTTCTCCCATGTCGGTCTCGGCGCCTCTTGACAAGATACGTCTCCCCCGCCTTGGACCGAGCGGGCGAATCATGGTGCCTTTCGCAGGCATCTTCCTGGGACGAGGAGTTATTCTCCGACCATATCGCTCCACAGCTCAAGCAGCTCAAGCAGCTCACGGGCTCACGACGGCTGCCTCACCTTCTTCTTCGCGCTGTTCCAAGAGAAGCGCTTGCACCATGACGCCAGAGCCTACCGCCGCTCGGACGGTCGTCTAATGAAAATGAGGAACCAGGCACACCAGGGAGGACCCTCAGAACAGCAGGTTGACGGTCGAAACGGTGACTCGGCGATTTCGTATTGCCAGCATTTTGCGAGGCCTAGAGGGCCAAGGTCAACCCTGGCAACCAGTCTTCCGTCAGCCTCCCTAGGCTCGCTTGACAGGGACACAAGCGGCGATTGAGCCGCTCATGAGTCGGCCGTTCCTTGCCAACCTACTTGGTTGCACTGTTCACTCTCGGTGACCTTGCTACGCCTGAAGGACGACTCAATAGGCAAGCTGCTACCAATTCTTGTTTCCTATTTTCGGCCTGATGCGATGCGAGTTCTCAGCGCGCGATAGAGACAGAAACTTTGGCTCTCTGTCAGACACCGTTTCATCGTTACCTAGGATTGCACAACATTGAGTACGAAGCCGCCGTTCCCATTTTTTTCTAAGCCATGCAATCTGAACCATGCTGCAAGCATTTGCGGTTCCCAAATGATTATCAACTCAACTGCCGTCATCTCGTCCATTCCACGGGGACTCTCCCGTATCCGACACGGCCGCTCTGATGTGCGCTCATCGCTGCATCCATCTCGATGTGGAATCGGCAGCCCCGTTTTCTCAGATAACGAAGATCCGATGATGTCCTAACCCGCCTTCACGCACCCTTGGGAAGCCTTTCGTTACTCTTCACGTTCGCAGTCTTCTTCGTCCCCGAGACTGCGAAGCGCCCATGAGCCATTGCCAACCACTGCCGTCACTAATCCCGCCTTACGGTGCCGGCTTTGCAAGTCTTGCAGCATCGTAATCTTTCGTCGCATCTCGTTCCGTTGCATGTTCAAACGTGGCTTGCCCGTCCTGCAGGTTGTTGATCCGACTGCCGAGTTCCAACATTCAACTTCATCCTCACGAAACAATAACATCCAATCAACTTACGCGGAGCTGGTTCGTATATTCGGTGGACTCGGCACAGCGGCTTCACCTATCCACAAACCATCGGCGGGAACTTGGCTATCCTGACGCCCAACTTCAGCCCGGCGCCGATCTTGACTCCCGTAAGCCCGGTGGCTTCTTCAATCATGCTACGCCGCCGAAATTATTGCGACCGTTGGTTTGTCGCCAAATCTTCATTGGGCGCGGAGCCACGCTTCTCGACACCTTCCAGCCACATAATTCCTTCTTTCTACAAATAATTTGACCCACTAATCACCCTAAGTCTCCTCGCCGGCGTGTCAGGTTACGATCTACCTAAGCTAATCGACCTGGCCAGTAGCTCGAGCCTATTTTCTTATCCACTTGTGCTTAGCAGTAACGTCTTCCGTCAACTGAACCGAGCTTCCCGGTCTCCACGACTTTGCTTCAGGCGACCCGGGTTGCTATCACCAAACCCTTTTTGTGGCTTGGTGTCCCAAAGAGGAAATAGATCATTTAGTCTACGAGCCGCTCAGACGAGTGTTTCCCTTTCTGTCAAACGACTTCCTAGACAAGACAGCTGTACACCATCAAGTTGTTGGCAGGCCAGCAGACAAAGTGACAGCCGCCACTTGTCTCCAGTTACGATCACGACACAGTCACAGGCCGTATAGGGCAATTGCAAGAGACGTCGAAACACTTTGGACGCCGTTGATGGCTGCGTTCTGTGCTTGACCTTCCTAGCAGGGAAATAGTTTGGAAGACACGAGGGTGGGCACTGATCGGATGCTACCAGGCAAGGACTTCAGCTGAAACGAAACAACACGGATCTATCCCTGCTACCAGGCCGCCAACAGCTGGAATTTCTGCTGTGTCTGCCCTGTCTTTGCGAGAATTGTACGTACGAATACGCTACGGTATCATGATGGTGCGTGCTACTTCGCAGGGCATCGCAGGAAGGGAAGTCGTTGGATGCATGAGTCGGCGACCTCACTGACGATGTCGTCTTGTCGTTGTCAGCGCTCGTCCTGCACGTCCAAAAGTTGACGTCCATGCCATCCGCAGTGGACTAGTTCCAGGCCCGTAATGACGGATCACACACTTCATAAGAAAGAATCCAGCAAAAACCTCATCCCACCAGCGAGAGGGAATAATGAGTCTTTTTGGGCTGAGCGTGCAGACACGCACAGTAGCGTGGACTTCAAACGACGGGTTTTGAGCAATTCTGCAAGCACTTTACTTATATGTTAGGCTAAAGATGTAGGGCGTGCGACTTGACCAAGCACCTCGAAGCGAGTTGGGGATTAGTGAGCATCGCAAAGGATGAAAGTTAGAATTGATTGGCTTTTTTTTCTTGGATGGATCACGATAATCCGCCCATTGCGTGGACCACGTCAAACGTCGGCGCGCGTACTCGGCTCGCAAAACCCGTCAGGGTTGGACCCTTGGAGAGACTGTCGACAAGCGCGATTATCTGCCCGTTTTTGACTTCTCCATGCGAGCGTGCGTGGTGCCAAGTGCCCCGTGGGAAAAGGTAGACACGCTTGACACGGTAGAGTGTAGAGACGGGGCCTGTCATCCCAAGAGCTTGACAATGCTGCCATCAGCGACACCACATGATACGGTGTGGCAATGGATACTTGAAGGGGGGTTGCCTATTTTGGTGGTGTCAAGGAGAAGTCTGACGCCATTTCTTCTGCCAACTTGACTCCTGTCAATGTTTCCGTTGGATTGGAGACAGCTTGGTGACAGGTTGTCTTTTGGTTGTGTGACAACTCTCTCTGGTTGTGACACAACCCAAAAACGAAGTTATGGCCGACCGGCCGGCCGACACGACCGAGGTCTTACGAAGATGTCGCACCCGCATCTCATTATGCCGTCTCCGCTGGCCCAAGCCAGGGTTGTGAGGAACATCTACAACAATTGGATACGTGGTACGAACTAAAGGCGCCCAGAGAAACACGTAAACCAAACAAATGGCTCCGCATCACCCAAACCGGGGTGCTCTAATACCGAGGCCCGCATTACCGGGATTCCTGCTGGGATCGCCCGCGCACGCTTTGCGTTTTCCGAGACTTGCGTGCTTGGGGCGCAGCGGAAGACCCTCCTACTCGTTCGCTTGTCGGTGAGGACTTCTTGAAGGTCTGGATCCAAAATGTCTCCCGTGCTAAGAGATGAGTGAGATTTGGGAGGGGAATGCACCCGCCGTGGGGCTTTTGCAAGCTAGCAGCCCTCGCAGCCCAACAGGGCACCATGTCTCGAAAGCTGACCACCTCGGTCGGCCATGCAGAATAAGCAATGACGACAACTGGGGCTGATGGGTGGGTGGATGGGTAGGAAGTTGTGAGCAGAATGATAACGTCTTTTCGCTTCCCCACAGTGAAGAAAATCAGTTATCGACATTGGAACTTTGGCAAGTGGAAATATCAATGGCATTGTGGATTTTGAGTGTGGGCTGTGAAGAGGAAAGGATTTGATATGGATGGAGGTTTAGTTTCAGCCGTGATTCCTCTTATCTCGTTAAAGACTCAATATTGCCGTAATTGGAGAGAATCTGACATATTGCCACTTTGGCGACTCTATCTAGATCCTGAGAAGGGCCTGGATCCCTATGCCCCTTGCCCACTTAGGTCCCTGAATACCAAAGATCCCGTTATGATCCCGCACACATTAGGCATCCAAACTATTGCTGAGCTCAATGGATTGCGTCTTTCATCGCAAACGGTCTTAGCAAGTAACAACCCCCCCCCCCCCCCCCCCCCAATCTGTGGTTGCCTATCGTATAGACTCGATCAATTGCGAAAGATTGCATATGCGGATGCGGGCAAGTCAACTTGAAGCCCGTTAAGGGATGGCCCATTTCGTCTGACTAGCATGAGGAGCTTTCCAGCAGATCGTAAGGCATATTCTCCCCCGCCGCATGTTCCCTCTCTCTTGCGTCGTCCATTTGGATACTCAAATGTGCGTTGATGTAATTGACTCGTCTCGTGTCTTACATACATGCACTTGACGCTCAAGTCCCATGCCCCCCAGTCCCGAGATGCCTTGCCTTTGCCTTCGCCTTGTCCCGTGCCGCGCCGTACCTCGCCTTGCCTCGCTTCGTCAGCTCGTCATCTGGTCGCGTCGCGAAAGAGGAAAGAGGTTCTCGAAATAGGACATGTACCGAGATCGCGAAGGGACGGATTTCGTTTTCTTTGGATTTTGCAATGGTGGCACCCGCACAGGTACAGATGTGCAGAAGGGCGATGCACGGCGTGTTCTGCAGAGGCGTATTTTTCGCTTGACCGAGGCCGGCATGGTGTGCATGGATGTGTGTGTGACGGGGCGCTACAATCTTTGGGTAACGGTCGTACCCAAGGATATGCGGGATGGCGGGCGGGTGAGCGGGCTACAGTACGCTTGTGTGAGGTTCCTCCGTTGGTCTATTGGGATTTTGGAAATCTTTGGGCCTTTGGTGTTGTGTTACCCCAGTTCGAGCCTTGGGAGCTGCCCACGTCAGCTTTCAATTCTTAGCCCAGCCCTACGGGTATTTTCTGGTGATGGGGTCATCGTGATGGATGGATGAATGGATGGGGATGTCAGCTCAGGGCTTAGCATCCTTTCGACGAGGGCAGCCTGAATGACTGGGAGATAACGACAGGCCAGGCCAGGTACAGGTACAGGTACAGGTACAGGTACAGGTATCATGATGGCCTTGACTTGACTTGACAGAAGCTGAGGTCTGTTCCCACCGTCCTGCCGCTGTCAGCTGGTCTTCCATCTCTTGTCAAAGCCCATCGTGTCGGTAATGAAGGCTTGATCTGGGTTGGGCTGTTTGACTTCTGATGCCCCGAACGAGAACCCCGTCCGAGAGCAAGCGTCTGTCGATTTGGATCTTTCGTCTTTCGCAAGGCTGAAGCGGGAGACTTCGGTAGGCCCTTTCTTCTCTTTCCATCCGTCACCACGTCCCCTTTCTTCCATCGAGCGACGATGCAAGTGCGCGTTGCTAGGGTCGCCGAGGAAACCGACCGAAAGTGACCGACCGACCGACCGACACCGATGAGGTGGGTCCCTTTGCTAGATAGTTTTCCTTCTTCCTGCCGGGGCGCCGGGTGCGAGGCTCTGGAGGAGTTGCCCGAGAAGACCGAAATATTGGAAAGCGGGAAACGACGTCGTTCGAAGGGCGGGGAGACTGCCCACCACCGCCCAGCCAGGCGAAAAATTGGGATCTCGGTATCTGCAGCACGAATTGATTGGGCAAATTTCTTTTCAAAGTTGAAAGGAATGGCTCTCTGCAGATCAAGGGATAGGTTTTGTTCGAAATGTCCGTGTTATTCCTTGTCTTGCGGTGCGGTAGTGTCCCACGGACAATTCGACGGAGTTGACAACTTCGGACCCCCAACTAAGGGTCGTTGCGCTTCGGACGGAGGGGGAGCAGAGCTTCGAACAAACGCCACCAAAGTTCCCAAAATTCTGTCTCTTTTTCTATTGTTCAGTCTGTCTAAAGTGTCGACGTCCGGATAGACTGTCACATTAGCTGCGGGAGACACAAGATGGGCAAGGTGAATCTCACTGTTGCATCGTCGGGCGACGGTGGTGGAGGTTCAATACGCCCCACGGTTTGCCTGTAAAAGTCGTTCATGCACAGCGGGAAGTTTGTACGCTTATCCCGCACTCCCGTCTATTATCCCTTGCTTACAGTCTTGACTGTCTGGAAGTGTTGTTGTCTCCGATGGACGTCGACTTCAAGTTTGTCCTAAGTGACAACTGTCAGTCAGGCTACGATTCAGAGTTGACAGCTATCATGGAAAATAGGCTCAAAGAACACTCACATACACGACGTTCGGAAATAATAATAAAGTGTCCGTGTGAGAGAAGAAAAGACATCAAGCAAGCTTGACAGTCATTGTACCTCCAAAGAGGCTAAGCCTTTCGCGGCTCGGTAACGTGCTGATCGTCAGGTCTGGGACATGGCCTAGGAGCCGCAATATAAACAACGGGACGTCCAGGGTAGGAATAGTGCCGCCTCCGGACGGACGTTATGCGCGCAGTGCTCCTTCTGCTGCTTCTTGCAGGGCCGGACGACGGCGTCCGGTGATTATAGGACCAGGTGATAGAATACCAACTCTGAATCCTTCAGTAGGGGTTCTCTTCGTAGATTGCCTGTTTTCAAAAGAACCGGGATCTCTGTTCAGAACGGCCTCTTGATTATTGGAAGTAACGTGTCTGTAATACAGCTTGTCTTCGATACAGATTTGAGCAGGCGATGCAGTCCGGAGTTGAGCCAGGCTCCTAGTTGTGACACTACATCTTGTATTCTAAACATCGGTTACTTGAGTTGCCCGAAAACCAATACTTACCAACGCGTTCATACTGAAGATCTCTTTTGTCCGGACATGACACTATAGACGACTACGGCCTAGACGTTCCCAAGTCCGCAGTCGGTCATGGTCGAGATGTCGTGCCCGAGTTGACCAATCTATCGTGCCAGTAAGCGTCTTTCTTGTTACATTCTCACTCTTTTGGGCAACAATGTCTGTAAAGTGTATCACACACCTCCTAGGATCTCAATCCATTGAGTTACTCTCCTGTCCGTCGCCTGGGCGATCTTGTCCACCTGCAACCACCCCGGCTCCGGGGAACGGGGGTTAGAAGCTGTCCCCTGCCTGGCCCTCCTTGTCAACCTTGTTCCTGCCTTTTGGTTCCCCTGATCTGACGGAGTGAAGAGAAACGCCATTCGGCTGACAGTTGAGAAGGGAAGGGTTTGCGTGAATGGCAACATGGTCGTTGTTTCTTCTCAACTGCAGCAAGCAGGCCCCGGTGCGGTGTTCCGGAGTTGCGTATTTCGTGCCACGCGCGTGCAGTTGACCACGGTAGTTATCCGCATTTCCTTGGATCCTTTCCTGACACACCGTCTCTGTGTTGACCCGTGTATAGAGTATATCAGCTTGTAGTTCAAGCAGACTGAAAATAGAACTCTCTCCGGGCCGCCGACAACCTGGTCCCATCTGGTGATGATCCTGGCCGGTAATATTGCCGGGCCATTCGAAAATCTCGTATGAGTCCGGTTGGCACTTTATTATTTCGTCCGGTAGCTGCGTTTCTTGGCGTGGGCCGGTTGCCTTGTCGACTCGGTGATGTGAGGGCAAGTCCGTACCCGAACTCTTCCTTTAGCTCCATCGTGGGGTGTTGGAAAGAGCGTGGACGACGACGCACGGTCGAGACGTCAACCGTCAATCAAATGTCCCTCGGATCACCGACATCAGGATGATGTTCAGATGGCAGCACTAGGCTTAGCCTCTTCCAATCCCCCTCTTCTGTCCCCCGAGTGCACCCCCCTCTGATCATCTTCCTGTTCGGCGTTCGATTCTGATTCCATCTGTTCTTGTTCTTCTTTCTCTTCAGACAAATGCATTCCGACGAACTCTAGGATCTCTTCGCCCGATATCAGACCTCAGAGAAGCCTTACGCAAACGCGACGTCAATCTGAGACCCGTCACTGGATGGGGCCGGCCGGCGCCAGGAAGAAACATAGAGCGCGGAGCTGGCCGGCGTCCTATGAGGTTGAGATAGAGGGTGCGCCGAAAGTCGACCAGAGCCAGTCAGCGCAAGCTGCACTTGCGACTCTGAAACGCAGACGTGAACGCCTCAGGAGGCATGCTCCCACACCCACTTTGTCCTGCCGCCGTGGGACTTGATGGAAATCAACCGTATTCATCCAGCCATACAGGACTCTGATACACGCCCCCGTGATCAACGATGCCGCGCGGACTCGAAACATAGACAAGTCAAAAGAGAGCTTCCAAGCAAGTAAAGCAACTAGACTCTTTCATGGCACGGGCTGGGGTAAAGAGAAGCAGGGCAACGAGAGGAGAAGAGAGAGAGAGAGGCGGAGCCAGGAGCCAATGCAAGTCTAGAACGGACTTCTGTCGCTAGCAAACTGGACAAATGAGAGGGGAGGACTAGAAAAGTGTTACATGAATCCCGCGGGGGGTCGAAGAAGCATATTGTGACTATATTGCGGTAAGTCGGTGATCTCTCGTCTTCTTTTCTGAGCCCCCTGCTATGCACTCCCTCGTCCTTTCATTCCTTCTTTTCTCTTGGCCGGTCTTCTCGGTCATCGGGTGATCTCTTCTTAACCGAGAGAGAGTGAGGGATATACATCCTGGCTCGAGCTGTCGTCCGATATACGACGGCAGCAGGTTAGGCGATGATGGGACAAGATCGTCCGTAGAGTGACGGATCTCGTACAACCCCCCGGCATCTTAGCTTGCTGTGCCTCTGGTCTGCCCCCCCGCTGTCCACCCCATCTGCCTCCGCTCTCTCGTCTATATATCTCCTCTGTCCTCCCCCACATCATCCTCTCTTCCCATGTCGACGACATACCTTACCCCACTACCTTTCCCGATGTCATCGAGTGCGGCGTTGACGAGGTGCGGGTCGGCACTGAGGATTACGACATGAGAGGGTGCCTCCAACTGGCCAGACGACAACCACCTGGAAAGAGTCGAGGCCCAGGATCGGAACATATCAGGATGAGCCTCGAAGGAGCCATAGATGTTGCGCAAGGAAATGCCCCTTTCAGCCAAGGCATCAATGTCGGCACCGGTCGAGGAGGACAACATGACGATGGCTTTCGAAACATTGGTGGGAACGAAAAGAGAGGCGGCTAGAGTGGGATGGCCAGACGCATATGCCTCCACGACTTGCAAAGGAGGAGAGCCGAGGATGGTCTGAACATCGGACCGAATGGAAGAGGAGGACCGGTCATTGACATGAGTTGCCCCAAGGGTTCGGAGTTTTGCAAAGGAGGCCTTGGAAGAGGTGGGTATGATGGTTCCGATGCCCGCAATCGCCGCAAGTTGAACGATGAAAGTGCCGACGTTTGTGCCCGCGCCAAGGACGATGAGATGGGCTTTTTGGTACTCGAAGGTCGTATCAGTGTTAGGAAAGGGAAACTCCAGGCCAGATGAGTGGAACAGAGAAAGAGCCGCGGTGAAGGGGTTGGTGATTAGCGTTGCAGCTTGAAGGGACGATATTGCCACTGGGACGGGAAGCAGAAGTCGAGGATCGGCGAGAACGTACGGGGCCAAGCCACCGGCATGCGGTCGACGAAGATTCCCCTGAAAGAGGACACGCGTACCGATAGGTGGGAAAGGGACATCACTTGGAGCGATCGAAATCCCGTATTCGACGACCATGCCGACGATATCGATGCTGAGCACCAAGGGAAGGCGAGAGGCAATATTGAAAACGCCGAAGTCGCGGAATTTTTGATCAAGGGCTAGAAGACCAGTGGCTTCGACGCAGATCAAGACCTCTCCTGGGCCAGGACGGGGCACTGATTGGACCATCGCCGGAAGGGGTTTTCCGATAACGACGAGGGATAAAACGACCTGGGAAACGGCCTTGATTAAGTCTGGCATGGTGGACATCTTCATCGAAGGAAGATGGAAAGAGATTGGAAAAGAAGGGCTTGTGGAAAAGCTGCTGGATGAGCGGAGGTCCAAGGTCAACTTGATCGGGCAACAACTAATTACATCCTCCTTGAGCTCAAGTGGTTGTGTCGGGGGCTGGAACGCAACGAAAGGCCCTTCACGGCTGCCGAACCGAGGCAGGAATCCTACAGCGTTACGACTTGAGGATAACCGCCATGAAGCTGGTCGTTGGCAAACTGGAGTTATCGGATTTTATGCTTTCGGTCTCGTTCTAAGAGGTGAGCGGCTCCGAATCCGGCAATGGAAGAGAGGCAGCCATCAGGAGGACGGAGCCACAGGATAAGGCGACTAAGGTGAGGACTATCCAACAGCACCAGCAGCAACAGAAGTAGCACTGGGCATCTCTGCCACCATTTTTCCTTTTGGGCTGTTGCGTCCTTTGCGGCGGTGTTGCTGTCTGTTTCGCAAGAGACCCGCGGCTGGAGCTACGAGATCTTGACATATCGCCGTCGGTCTAAAGTGCGCAGGTCAGAGGATTCAATGGCCAGTTGGGCGGTATGTCGTCAAGCTATCGGGGTATCAGCCCGCCCGGCGGCTTAGGTCGGACTACACTCCGAAGCGGGATAAAAAGTACCGAATTCTTCTCAGGTATCCTACTTTTGGTAAGCAATGGTCAATAGGCATAGCTTCGCGCTAACAAGGACTTACAAAAACGGTACGTAAACGTCTTGAGCTAACTACCGGTTCAAGGTTCGTCGTCGTTTTGATCTTTCTGTTTCTACAACCAATTTGCAACTGCAGAGTGTGAAAGCTGATGCCTTCGAAAACAAATTCGCAGGGCGCACTTGCACTCTAAATGCTTCTCACTCAAGCAGTTTGAATGAACCAATTGCCATGACATCGTAGCTAAGCTCAGGTTCCGCACTGACTTCGTCGTGGGTCTGAGCGTGTTTGTGCTTCATGCGGCCCGGCGAGAAAAGAAGAATGGAAAAAGAACACTTGACACCGAGGTGCCAACTCTGGCCATAACCCGGATTTGAGCGCACACACGCTCGTTTCTCTTGCTTCATGAGCAGTGGGATTAGTTCTCTGCGTCGTCTGGACTCTTCCCATCGGCATCTTCCTACCGCTCACAGAGAGCAACGGTACAACAACGGTTGCCATAACATGAGAATCTCATCATCATTCATAAACGGTCCGTTTTGAGTTTCCAATTCTGCCATTCAGCGCCGAATGGTCCCTCGGTGGTCTTGGTCTGTCTGGATATCGCTGTTAGCTCCCATCCCGTTTTGGTTCCAGTCACTATAAGCCTACTAGGACCGTGATATTAACTCGCTTGCTAAGCAATTTGAAATAAAATGCCGGTCGTTTTAAAGTGATCCAGATCAACCTGGATAACCATCAACATTGGGATCCACTGTTGACGATAATGATGCTTGGAATTGGGTAAAGTATGATTGGTTCAAGAACTGAAGGGAACTACCATATTGTGTAATTCGCACTCTGCTACAGAACGCAGTTTTCGAATTGAGAATTGAGAGAGAGCTTGTAGACTATAGTGATCGCAATGTAAATTTGAAACAGGAGTAGCTTTCAAGTTCCATTGACGAAAGAGAGATTCTTGAGGTTCTAAATGTCATTGAGGTCATTGACACCGAAGTTGCCGGGTGTGAACAAAATTATGACTAAGCACGGGTAATCTGCGGGTCCTCCACGAGCGCGGGTCGCATTTTGGTGGCAGCTACCGCGATTTCCAAGTCCTGGGAGCTCCAGTGTCCCCAAATTCCAATTCGCAAATCTCTGGAGCTTCAAATATCGGCATTGCGCTTCACCACATGCCGCGCTTACTTTGATTTGGTCTGGAGATGCCCAGGTACGCTTAATTGAAGCCATGTGTCAATAATCTCCAAACTGATCGCCATCAAGAACCTTTCGCGCAAAGCACTGAACCCACACCATGAGGGCGCAATTAGCCCGCCATGTCTGCCGACGGGTCCTTGTTCCTAGGGGCAGCGTCCCTGCCTGTTCGATTCTTTCTCGCCCAGCGTGTCGCCATACACAGCTCCCGGTACCTTCGACGATATCCCTCTCTCGACGGTCCCAGCGAAGGACGTTCTTCGGTATCCTGCAGAAGCCCCCGAGACAAATCAAGAAGCCAGAGTATGAGCCTGGGTGGACAACGGTCTTGACATGGAGAAATCGCCTTTTGGAGAGCGTTCGACCGCCGTCTAGAACAGAATTGGTCGAGGCGTTTAGGGATTTGTTTTCGTACAAAGTGCGCTTCAACATCGTCGTCAACAGCACTCAGGCCTTGCACTGTCGTAATCTGTTAAAATACCTGCTCGAAAATAAGGATGACGAGCCGGGTCCAGGTCTGACTCTGTCAGAGTTGACGAACGCGCGGGAAGCGCTGCTGAAGTTGCCGAAAGAGGATACCAAAGACCACCTGGAGTTCTCCAGGCTCTTATACGATGCGATCAAGGAAGAACGGGCATTGGATCCCGCAGATCCTGGGGCATCGGAGGACTTCGAGTCGTACCTGGTTGCCTTGACATTATTTGGAGCATCTCCCGAAGCCTTTATCGCGTTGCAGGAACACTGGGCCCAATTATCTGAAGCAGAGCGACCTGGCGCGCAGAATCTTTGGGTCAATGTCCTGCAGGGGCTGGCGGAGGAAGGTCGTGAGGCAGAGCTTGTGGCAGCTGTCAAAAAGGCCGAGAAACTTGGTTTGCCTTTCACGGCGAATTTTCATGAGGTTATGACAACTTTCTTCGCCAAGAAGGATAACGTTTTGGAGACCAAGAAGTGGTTTCTGAGGCCAGCTCACAACATCGAGCATCCAAGCCCCAGGTCTTTCAAAGAAATCTTGCATTTTTCAGTGAGAAACAACCAACGCGGGTGGACAGCGCCGATCTTCAAGAAGCTCGTTGACGCCAACCCGAGCAAGGAGCATTGGGATGTTATCTATCAGTGGGCAGTACTGTCCATGGGCAAAGGGCTTGATGACATCAAAGGCATGTTTGATGTTGTTGCTCGCCACAACCCCGACGACAGCGCCTTTCTACCAGACACCCAAACGATCAATGGGCTGCTGGAGGTTGCTATTGAGAAGAACGACCCTTATTTGGCAGACAGGCTTGTCTCGTTCGCAAGCGAGCTCGACATCCGGCCTGATGCAACAACATACCTTCTCCAAATGGACTTCAAGATCCGGGCAAAGGACTTGTCAGGGGCCAGGGCGGCATACATGCAGCTCCCCAAGGCGGAGCTGAACGGAGAAGACGACTTGCCCCTGATCAACAAGTATCTCCAAGCGCTATGCTACCAAGCAACCCCGAATTCCACGGCGATACGCGAGATGCTGGATATTCTGGAGGACCGAATTGTCACATTAGACCCAGAGACAGTGGTCGCATTATGCACGGTCTTCCTCAAGAATGACCAGCAATTCGAAATTATCGACACACTGTCGCTGAATGTATTTCAACACAGCAACGAACAACGGCGATCCATCAGAGATGCATTTGTGGCGTACTGTTTGGACAAGAAAAACAGTACCGCGAGAGTATGGGACGCCTATTGCATCCTTCGTCAGTTCTTCCAGGAGACCAGTGTTGCGAGCCGTCTCTTACTCATGGACGCATTCTTCAACCGCAACCGCTCCGACATGGCCGTCCACGTATTCGGACACATGCGGCAGCATGTCAACCCAACATTCCACCCCAAGAGCGAAGCCTACATTCAATGTTTGGAAGGCATGGGCAGGTGTCCCGACTTGGACAGCACGAAGTTGGTCCATAACATGCTGAAGATGGACACGAAAATCCAGCCCAGCACGAAGATTTTCAACGCTTTGATGATTGCCTATGGTGCATGCAGGAAACCGAATATAGCCTTGGAGTACTGGCAGGACATTGTCAGGTCTTCGGAAGGCCCTTCATACAACAGTCTCGAGATTGTATTCTCACTCTGCGAAATCAAGGCCTTTGGCGACCAGATTGCCAGGGATATCTGGAAGAAAATCGAGAAGATGGAGGTCGATGTTCCACCGGCAGTCTTTGCTTCCTACTGCGGTGGCCTGGCAGGCAATGGCAATCTGCAGGAGGTCCAGAGCACGATCAGAACCATGAAGCGAGCTGTTGGGTATGGGCCTGATGCCATGACGTGAGTTCATCCCTCCAATCTCTGTCAAACTTCATAGCTAACATCTGTACAGGCTTGGCATTCCATTTAACGCGTTGCCTGGGCAAGGCTTGCAGCGGGAGTTCGAGGCGTGGGCCAAGAAGCAGTTCCCAGAGGAGTGGGCGGAGGTGGAGAAGTTCCGCTACTATTACACTCCCGAAAAACTGAAGAAGTTCAAGCTACAGCGTGTGCTGAAGGCATGATGTGTACAATAAGTACTGGAGGAGCTTCTTGTATCTGTACATTTATAATAGACGCCAAGATATTGTACAATTCATACACGGGAGAGACTCCCAATTTCCGCAGACAAATCCACAGGCCCTGCGAGCCTTTCCAAACACTAAGCCTCTCCAAAGTCTCTACTTCCACGACGCATTGAGGCGGAATCTCTTCTTCAACAGCTCGGGGTGGTGGTGCACACTAGGGTGGATACCCATACCAATCGCTCTCCGGATAGCCTTTGCCATCTTCCTCTGGTTCGTCGGCTTCAGTCCCGTTTCCTTGTTGTGCCTGATCTGTCCGAAGTTTGTCATATACTCGGAAATCATCGAGAAGTTCTGCAACACAGAATTAGCAGACAGAGCGTTTTGAAGGTACCGGTGAAACATACTCTGTAGTGGTCCAGGGGGTTGATCCCCAACAAGTCAACGACATCGACCGTGACGGTCTTTTGCCTGCGCCATTTCTCCATCTCAAGAGGACTGAGATCGTGCGGCGCGTATACCTCACCGGTACGCCAGCGACGCGGCATTTGCTTGACATAGTCGTCGCTAACCTTCTTCTCGCGGAGAGACTCGAGCATGGTGCGTTTCCGAGCCGCAGCTCCTTCCAAGCGGGCCTTGCTTCCATTGTTGATGAGACCACGGATACGGTCGGCAGAGTGCACCTTGGGCTTCTCGTCGAGGTTCAGGAGGTTCTTGATCGGATCGGAGCTGGAGGACTCTGTAAAGCTTGACGTTAGCTTTCGCGCTACGGGGATAAGGGAGCTAGCTGTAAAGGGTCATTGACGTACGGGCGACTGCAGGAGTTGACGAGAATGGGCGCGCGACCCGGGCCATCAAGGCGCTCGGTGCCTTGATGGCCGAAATGAGTGGTAGTCTGGGAGGCATTGCTGGTTTTGTGAGGAGTTGTTGGAATATCCCAGCGAGTCGTGATCTGTCGCGAGATGTTGAAGCTGTCACGGGAATTTTTTGGTAGGCCGACGGAACCTCCCGCCCCACTCGTCCGATAAGCGTTAGCGGCGATAAGGAATTTTGTCCCGCCAGCTCCAGAACTTTTTCTTCTGCCGCGACCACTCGTTACGGTAGTCAATCGCCAAACCGAACTGGGAACCCGCGACGTCAATAGCCCAGCATGGTCCGCAAACTCAAGTATCACGAGCAGAAGCTCCTGCGGAAGCACGACTTCATCACATACAAGCAGGTACCGTGATCAACCGCACTTCGCCCGCGCAGTGGCCCGAGGCGCATGTGCTAACATTGAATTACCAGGATGGCGACCACCGAGACGCCGCAGTGGTATGGCAGACTCCACGAGAAGAGATGTGCGCGACACAATCTAACATGCGAACAGGTGCGCAGATACATGATTCAGAAGCCCGAGGATTATGTGAGTTACACAGTTGACACCCGTATCATGAACCACCGCTAACATTGACAGCACAAATACAACAGGCTATGCGGCGTAAGTTCTCCGAATATCTCCCCGAGTTTGCGGTCGAATACACATCGAGACGTAAATTGACACGGATGCGCAGTCCATCCGTCAACTGGCGCATAGGATCAGCCTGATGCCTCCGGAAAACGCGGCCCGCCGAAAGCACGAGCAACTGCTCCTCGACAAGCTGTATGACATGGGTGTTCTCTCCTCGGCCTCGAAGCTCTCGGCCATCGAACACAATGTCACAGTCAGCGCTTTTGCAAGACGACGTCTCCCCGTCGTCATGACTCGCCTTCGGTATGAAAAAGGAGACTTTCACAGCTTGCTTCTTTGGGCATAATGCTAATGTAGATGTCGCAGCATGGCCGAGACCGTACAGGCAGCAACGAAGCTCATCGAACAGGGACATGTTCGTGTGGGCACGGAAACATGTGTCGATCCCGCGTTCTTGGTTACTCGCAGCATGGAGGACTTCGTTACATGGACCGTGGGCAGCAAGGTCAAGAGGAATATCATGAAGTATCGCGACAAGTTGGACGACTTCGAGTTGCTGTAGACGGGACGATACACTTTCGGATGACCGGCTTGCCGTCATGGTGGGACTTGGCTTTGTGCAATATTTGGAGGTGTTATGGAGTTAGGGGGCTGGACATGGGGAAAGAAAACATCTGACCTATCGCATTCCGCAGAGTCTGCGTGACGGGCCTTGAGTCAGCTTTGAGGCTTAGGAGACGATCTGGACTGGCGGAGATATCGGGAGAAATCCCTTTGCTGGCATATTGCCCGATGCGCAAAGATCAAGCAACTCGGACAGCTGGCACTCACCCGCATGTGGCGACGTCCTCGGAACAGACCATCAGCCGCAATTACATTTTGTCGACAAGTAGGTAGACGAAGGTTCCTACATTTGAGGTTGTTCCTTGGCGAACCCAACCTCAAAATGAATCAACCGATACCTATTTTCGACTCTATCAGCTCATCAGATCCGAAGTATACTGATGAAATACGAATGAATCGCGAAGACTCTGCAGCCAATCTCAAGGTTTCGTCGCAGAAGCACGTCATGCTGCGGGCTTGCGCTGCCTTGAGCGAGCAGATGAACACTTTGTGGACGGATGAAACGGTCGCAAAGTTTGGGACGTATATCAGTTCAGGACTATCGCATGACAACGAGGGCTGGAAGGCCTGAACGAAAGAGCCGAGGCCACTACCGAATCGGGAAATCATTGAGACGAAGCCGGGCAACTGTATAGAGTCGACTCGCAAAAGAGCGCAATAGATTAAGAGGGAATCCCGACTTCGTCCAGGATGGCCATGCAGTCCCAGCTCGGAACAAAACTTTCCTCCCCCCACAACAGACAAGAAAACGTGAAGAGTCGTCGGAAGATAACTCTATGAGGCTGAGAAGGGTGCTTTGCACGGACGCTCCTATAGAAGAGCCGCCGAATGGAACAATGGATTATCCCAGTCTTGAAACAGGGAACATGACCAAGTGATACTCTGAACCGACGTTCTGGATGGTGAAGATCCGATCTCCGCCAATCGTAGCTCGAATCCCGGCCGGTACCTGAGGTCATCGTCTACTCTCTGTGTCTGATGTTTTGCACCTTCTTTTTGCGCTGTGGGTGGTCTCAACATCAGCGCACGGGGAAAGCTGAAGACTTTGTTTGTTTGAACGGATGAATCGGGACCGGGAGACTTCCCAGCCGCGGCGTTCCCTGCGGCTTTCTTGGTGTGTGATATAACAACCGTCATCCCAAGAGCTTCCCCGTTGCTACCGATGTCACGTCTGGGAAGCAACTTACACATTCTTTGATACTCTAGTGCGCTGGTCGACTAATTACGCTCCTTTTCCCCCACAAACAGTCGCTGACCCCTCGCTGATAACGAACATATAAGTCACAACAATCCTTAAAACGTAACCCTAGTTTTTCCATCTCGCAGACTTGTCCAAACCGCAACCTCGGAACTTTGAAGAAGCCACACATTACGAATACGCGCAAGGATTCTATCATGTTCGCCTTGAAGTATGCCTTCTTAGCCTCGGCCGCTCTTTACACCGTTAGTGCCCATGGCACAGTAAACGGCCTTATGGCAGATGGAGTCTTGTAAGTCCGGGTTCGATATCTCAGTCACTTTTAGTCCATCCTTGCTGACCCGCTCCTCCTCCTCCAGCTATGAAGGCTACAGCCCTCAGATGCAGTACAAGAAGCCCCCGCCACAAGTCATAGGATGGTCCATCCCAAAGGATCTGTCCAACGGCTTCGTCGCCGTAGACAAGTACGCAGACGCAGACATCATCTGCCACGTCGGCGCGGAACCGGCACCGATCGCCGCAAAAGTCACAGCGGGCTCCAACGTCACCGTCTTCTGGACCGATTGGCCCGAGTCGCACCACGGGCCGATGATGGACTATCTGGCCCCCTGTAATGGCGACTGCGCCAAGGTCAACAAGGCCGATCTGCAATTCTTCAAGATTGACGCCGTCGGCGTCGTCGACGGTGCCAAAGCGCCCGGCAAGTGGGGTTCGGACGACATGCTATCCAACAACAAGTCGTGGACGATGACGATTCCGGCAAGCATCGCACCCGGCCAGTACGTTCTCCGCCACGAGACGATTGCGCTGCATGAGGCCGGCCGGGAGGGCGGCGCGCAGAACTATCCACAGTGCCTCAACATTGACGTTCAGGGCGGCGGGTCCGAGAAGCCCCCCGGCGTCAAGGCGACGGAGCTGTACAAGGCCAACGATGAGGGTATCAAGTTCAACATCTACAAGGATAACCTTGAATACCCCATGCCCGGACCCCCCATGATGGGCGCCGAGCAGAAGCCTACTCGTCGGCGGAAGAGAGTAACGGTCATCTACTGAAGGGAAAATGAATGGGCGGCTCACTGGCTTTTGTACAAATCGTGTTACTGTTATGTATTTGTACGGACGAACATTCACGACGCATGATGGGACGGGATGGGGCGGAAACCTCTGCTTTTATTTGCGGGCTCAACCAACTTCTTGCTACGCTGGCCGTGCAAAGACTCTCTTTCGAGTCTCATGTTTCCTTTACGAATCATCGATATCCTTGGCATGCCACCTGTGTATAGAAAGCGGTCCTGTGAGATGGGGTTCACGAGCAAGCGAGCGTCCATGGGCGTATATAAATCTCGCCATGTATCATATTGTACCTTTTGTTTTTGTGAATGACAAATTGTAAACGATCCCACGAGGAGAGTGCGTGTATAGATGAGCTTGAACCAACAAACGTGTCCAGTCTTCTTGCCACTCCAACTATCTGCCCACTCCTCTTTGGACTTATTACCATGAAAGATTTGGGTCCCTGGTCTGCGATTCATCAGAGTATTCGGCCGTGATGAGTACTCACATCCGAAGGTTCAGCTCCGTACCCGAATCCGAAAATCTCATGCGGCCCAACCCTTCTCGTTTATTCGCCGCTGGTTTCAGGAAGAACTGGCTCTGTCTCTCTCTCTTCATCTTGCCGGGAACCGAATCCCGCGTGGGCCTCCCCTCTTTCTCTGGGGGAGGAGACCCGGACGCTGCGGTGCTTTTCCACTCGACACGGGTCACATGGATGTCCGAGGGGCCCCGGACCCGGCAGATCTACAAAAGAAACACGAAAATCTGAAGCACGGAGGACCTTCTTAAGAGACCTCACATATGGATCTGCAACGGTGGTCAGTACAGAGTACATAAGTACACTCATTTGCGCCCGCCTCCTCGTCTGCACGGCCCTGTCGATAATATTTGCTCTTAAATGTTTTGTTTCTATGGGGCTTTGGTCATGCCACGGCTAGTAGGACATCGGCGTCTATATGATCTACGGGCGCACCGACTCCGAAGCTTGGCGAATATGTTTCGCGGCGCCTCTCTCTTGTGGTCCAGTGGTCAATCTTTCCAGTAACTTATAGGGTCATTTCATCTTGATGTGTGGAAACTCAGAGGTGCGGGTGATGACGGACTGCCTGTACTTAACCGAGGCAAAAACTGTGAGTGTCTAAGCCAGTCTGCGGTATGCCCATACGTACCCTCCTCAGACTTGACAGCCTCACAAACCCACCGGAGCAGGTTACTCATGTTGAGAGGAAACGGTCAGTAAATGAATATCTGGCCTATCCAGCCCACTTACCTTTGAGTGACAAGGGCCAACCTGAAGACCTGGAGCATTGTAATACCCGACATTTCTTGCCGATGTCATGAGCTTCCGCGTCGAGAGCATCTCAGAGGCCGTTAGCAGGCCGCTTTGGGCAAGATCACCTTTACGGGACTATGTAAACAAAACGTATCTTCCCTGAATCATGTAGCGCCTCCACATATACCGCGCAGAATAAGGGGTAATTACGATGGTTGACGCAGCCAGAATACGTCCCAATATGGAAGGAAGTAAAAGGTGTCAAATACGGGCGCTGCCAATAAATTAACCTCACCCGTCTTGGTGTAGATGCACCAACGCTCCACTGGGAAAAGTACGAGTCGCTTCAATACTACTACATACCACTGAGCTTTTTCTTGCGCCCCTCCATCATTGAAGCTGCGATGTGGAGGCTCGATAATCGACAACGTCTTGACACTTCCCGAACAGATGCTCCCGACCTCCAGTCTCAGAGAATTAACACTTAGAGAAAATCAGTAAAAGGTCTCGGGCCTTAGTTCAAACCCTATCTCTACGAAAACCCAGCGCCTCATTTTCTTCACTACCCGTTTAACTACCAGGCTACGTGGCCACGGCCGATTCGAACCGCACCGGGGAAGTGCTCCCTCCTTCGAATCCATGACCAGTAAACCCTCTGCTCGATGCACCTCATGAATTCGAGGGAGCGGCAGCTTGAGGCATCCCGTGAACGTAGGCTTTCGCTCTCGCCCTAGCTGGTATTCAGACTAAGATACGTGGACCCATGAGTTCTCTACGAAAAAGGGCCATATTGCTACCACAATGAGGTTCGCGAAGAACCACTTGTCGTTGACGTGTAGCAGCTTTGAATTCCTGATATGAAAGACATGTGGTTTTCTATAGCCTTTATCTATTATCCTTCTTTTCCTTCTTCTTAACCATGCCAAGTTCCTTTGACTCTCCCGAAGATGACTCTTTCCTCATTTTCAAATCATAAACAAAGGAACCTAAGCCGCTAGTCCAGTCTATTAGCGCCGAGACGTGTGGCAGCTGTCTCCTCAGGAGAGAGAGAGAGAGAGAGAGAGAGAGAGAGAGAAAACATGTCGATTTCGTTCTCAAGGCTGATTATTGCTATCCTTCGTTGTTTAATTACAGGCAAGAGCTGGATGAAAAGGGATGACTGCTAGATGTGTTCCTACGTCCGGTAGAAAGTGCAAGTGTAGTTACACCTCAGTGATTTCTCCCGGAATTCCAGAGCCACGACCCTCAGGCCGCCCCCAGTCTGCGTAGTCATGTATTAGCGTTTGTACCACAGGCCTATTGAGCTGCTTGAGAGGTAATCGAGACAAGGCTGTGGGGCTGCAGAAATGGGCGGAGGTGAGGGTACAGAAGCTAGAGTAACTTATCACATTGTCCGTATTCTTGGTCGAATAATCCTAAGACGAAAGCGAGTGACGGAGAGGAAGGGATGAGCAGCGATCTAGTGGATTTTATGTTTTAACTTAGAGACTCGGCAGTCGAAACTGGCTTGAGTCTCCCAGAATGGAGGCATTCTGCTCGAACACGAGTGAATATACTCACCAGGACGGCGACTTCACCTCCAGTCTCATGAATCGCTGCCTCTCTATGGTCGACACTTATATCCGATTTCCGAACCGTTGGGATAACACGGTATCAATGCTCTATTCTCGTAACATAACCCTCTTACAGTCATTCCATGCCTTTCAGGTACCGCTTGCCGTATTGTGCCTCGGAGTATAAAACAGAAGTGGTGAAGAAGAACGTAGCTTGAAATAGTATAGACATTTGAGTGACCTCACTCTCCCCGGGCAGACACCATCAACGATGCGGGAGCTGGTCTAGTAATTCGAATTTTTGGATCCAAGAAACGAGGACAGCTTTTCTACAGGGATTCTCGCCAGGCTATGCAAGGGTCAACCACTTACTGTCACTGGCCCGCCAGGGCCACTCCTAAAGCCTACGAAGATGGGAACTCGGATTCCATCCATGCTTAGAACTCGCTACGCCTCTCCTAGTATTGGCTTCATGGATTTAAACCAGTGGGCTA